ACATCAGGATATAAGGAGCCCTGGGCAAGGCACAACCCCAAGTAGTTCTCTTTCTACAAGCTTTCTCAATAACATAATAAACACCTATCTGCATTCCGCCATGGGGCCAGTTTTTCACACTTGTCTTTGTTAGCTAAAGAGCTAGAGCTATACTCCGAAGCCTTATATATATAGGGGACCACTATATGACGTGAGGACTACTCTCGCTCTCGTCCTCGTCCTTATTTAGCAATCTAATATATACAGCTGCTCAATAGATAAGCGTCTAAGGGTTATAGAGCCTTACATTGAAAATAGGACACTACCTTGGATACAGTAGGAAAGAGAAACATGACGGGGAAAGCTAGAGACCGTTACCTACACTAACCTCCCGAGCTCCTGAATTATAAGGTGTGGACAATCGGCTAGAGTGATGAGGGCGCCCACAGTAGATATGCCCCCGTCTGTGATGAACAGTATATGGCATGACTTTGCCATTGGCTAGAGTACGGGGCCAAAATTAGGGAGAAGAGGGAGGGGAAGAAAGAAGGGGAGGCAGGTGGGAAGAACAGCCGAGACCCTCTCCCTCTCGCTGGGGTGGGTTCTCGGGCGGGTGATGAGGGAGCGCGTTGGTCAACAGGGGCAGGGCGGCGGCGTATGGGGCATGTCGGTTGCCATTGGCCGAGCGGAGCAAGATTTGGAACCCGGAATATAGGAGGAAGATTAAAAGAGGAACTTGCAGATGAGCAGGCTGGTGAGGGCGCGGTGTATTTATGAAGACCCGACGACTTGGATCAGTGGAGGGGCCGGTACCTAGGCTCGCTGGTCGAGGTACGAGATAGTGGTCCGAGCTCGGGATATGATTGGCCGGCTTGGGTGGATCCCGCAGGCAAAATGGAGGACTCGGAATTTGACAGTCCCGACCACGACACCTGTATTCCAAGATCCTTTCTCACGGCAAACCCTCGTTAGGACGCCTGTTGCTTCGTTTGCACGTTTGGCGATGCACCGCTGATATCAAGATGTGCAAGGAGTTATACGAGACGTTGAGCGTGGTCGACGGGCAATTTGAGGCTTGGAGGCAAGCCGCTGTGGCAGCGTGGTCAAATGAGAGTTCATCGCTCGCGCAATCAGAGCCTGGGTCGAAGATTGTGCAGCCAAACACCATTCTCGAACGGGATGGCCAAGTGGTACTGAAACTCTACGAGGCCAGTGATGAAGGCATCATTCAATCGTTTGTGGAGAGAGATATCTGAAGACAATGTCTGCAATTCAATTCCATAACCTTCGCTACTAACTTTCCGTGTAATTAATTATCGAGCGAGGAACCGAAATCCAACAAGGATATGAAAAAGCCTGATGCGAGCCATGGTTGCCCCCCCAAGCCCAGCTCGAGTCGGCGTCCTTGTAACCCTAACCCTCAAACTATGGCATCCCTGCCCGAACTCACCGGCCCCTAACTAAATCTCATCTCCCCTATTCGCCGATAGCCGAGACCCAGGCGAACTCATCGGGCCAATGGTGTCATGAGAATGGCAGCGATCAACGATGATGATTGGCTGATTCGGAGTGGGGAGTGGGAAAAGAAGGGACAAAAAACCGGGAACAGGAAAAAGGGATGAACGGGGGCCGGCTGCGGCTGTGATTTGCGAGGGCTTGAGAGATTGTGAGTGAGGAAGTGGAATCGATCGGCCAGGTCGGTCGGTCGGCAGCTGGTTGGTGGAGGTTGGGGGCCATGTGAATTTGCATTTTTCTCTTTGAACTTGATTCTCTCGATTGAATGGAACGGTTGATGATGGGGTTTTGGTGTTGAGATTTTATTATTATTTAATTACGGATACCGGACACGGAACACGATATACTGATACGGCAATACGGGAGGACGACACGCGAGGGAATGTGGTGATCGCTTTTACCAGGGTGTTCGTTCATTGTCGGTGACCTTCGCGAGACGGGACGGTCAAATACGAGGAACACGGCCGACGGCAGGGGCTTTGTTGGGGGATTAGATTCGTCGGTCGACGCGATTTACACTGGCCAGCCGGCTTTGACGGGAGAGCGTTTTGGAAAGTTCAAAGTTGGTTGGAGTCCTCACGACTTGGCGTCTGACTGGACATCGACGCGTCGCGACGAGCTAGATCACAAACGCCATTCCTGACGTTCACGAATCAACGAGTCACGGTGTCACCACAACCAAGTCGCTGCCCCATTTCAACGGCACCCAAGGACGGGAACAGTACGGCATACGCCAAACAACACAATGTCACCAACAACACAACGCAACCCCTTCCCCTTCGCTCTCCCCCCAAGTCTCACCAACACCGCCAGCAACGCCCTCACAGCCGTTTCTCAGCATATTGACACCTCTGTCGTGCTCCCCACCGCCTTAGCGGCTCTCACCTCAGTCGCTAGCCATGGCCTGTCCCGCGATCGGACGACGGTTGGGCCAGCGGGAGAACTGATTTCGGAAGGGGTTTGTTGGGGGATATGGGCGGGGGCGTTGTTGCTCGCAGGAGGGGGGGTTGGGAGTGGAAAGGGGTCGGGTTTGAGTTGGGATTTAGGGTTGAGCGGGATAGCCGGGAGGAAAAGGGGGAGAGCGGGTGATGGCCAAGAGGGGGATGGGGATGTGGAGGTTGGGTTGTTGGAGTTGGAGAATGCGAATGGGAATGCGAATGGGGGGCCGTCGTCCGCATCAGCAGGAGCAGCAGGCAGGGGAACGGAAGAGGGTGATGCTGCTGCTTCGTGGTCAGTGTGGGCGGTTGCTGTGGGCTTGGTGGTTGCGGCGTTGTATCGTGCTGAGCTGGGGGATATTGCGTTGTTTGTAAGTCTCTGGGGTGTTGACCCCGTTGCTCCTTGATGCGGCGGTATTTGTGATATTGGACTAACTTTGTAGCCCGTCTTGACGCCATTACTCCTCCTAGCGGACAGGCGATTCCGGCCAGAGATTCAAAAACCCTCGGGCGGGCTTGGCGCGTTGGCGTACACTGCTTGGGGCACAGCACTGGTGGCTGTATTCGGGCTGTTTGCGTTGCTCGGGCGTGACGCGGTTGGCTGGGCGCTGGTGCTGATTCCCATGGTGGCTCTGTTTATCGTCTATGCGGCGTTGATTCCTCGGTCTGTGGACGGCCGACAGTGGCTTCCGTCAGTTCCTGAACTTGAAGAGGTTATTGTACCGCTCGCGAGCAGGGTGGGCGTCCTCGTGGTCGTTGGGCTCGGCGCGCAGGTCTTTGTGTTTGGGATACGCAGCCTGGTGTTTGGGTTCTCGGCGTTGTTGTTAGGGCTACTCAAGGCGGGCTTTTGGTATTTTACGGTGCAAGCGGTGAGTTGTCTACAACTTGTACGTGGTACACAGAAGATACTGACGACCCCAGGCCCGCAACACATCTTGGGTCGTAGCGACGGCCATTGGAACGTTTGGCCTAGTGGCCTCGCGTGATCCCTACGTTCAACTTTCAAACACGCAGGCTTTCCTGCCCTTTTTCGCCTCGCTGCTCGTCCTGGTCCAGGTCATCTACGCCCTTCCGTCACAAACAAAAGGCCGGATGGTCCTCTGGGCCTTGTTTTTAATTCCCTTTGGACCATATCTGGCCAACATTGCCGCGATTCGGTCGGCGCAGTCTTCGGCACTGCATTCCGTCGCACACCCGATCGAAGTTCTGGCCCGCAGTGCCCGGTCAGACTTCAAACAGATCCTGGACCGACAATCGAAAACGTACTCGAGCGCCATCAAAGAATACCAGCGCCGATATGGCGTTGAGCCTCCGCAGGGGTTCAAAGAGTGGTATGAGTTTGTTGTGGCCAACGAGTCGCCCATTATCGACGAGTTCGACGCGATCCACGACGCCGTTGCACCCTTCTGGAAGCTCAGCGGCGATGAAGTCCAGAAAGTCATGGATGAGGCGTACAACACACCGGGCATTGACTTATGGCTCTGCTCGTACTCATCCGAAAACTCCGAGACGACATGCAAGCATCCCTGGAGGGGTTCAGACAGACACATCGCAGAGATGTTTAGCAGCGTTCTGGGTGATTTGCATGGCCTTATCCCTGATGCCAAGTTTCTGGTAAACCACCTGGATGAACCGCGTGTGTTATTACCTCATGGAACCGACACCAAAGGGTCGAAGTCCTTGAGCCTGACTGATCTCTCCGAACAACCCACCTGGAATGCCGTCACCAAGTACTGTCCCACCAACCCCGAACGCGGCATCGCCAATCCGCCCCTTGAAGAGGCCGGCCTCCCCCTAGTAGCCAACCTCACCCACTCTCTCGATCTCTGCAAACATCCGGAGTACGCGACATCCCACGGCCTATTCCAAGCCCCGGCCTCTTTCAAACTTATCGAGGGCCTCGTCCCAGTTCTCTCCACCGGCTCTCCCTCCACCATGTCCGACATCCTCATCCCCTCTCCAGCCTATCTCGTCGAATCCGAGTTCCAGTACAACCCCGAAACCGACATTCCCTTCTCCCACAAAGCACCCAACCTCTACTGGACAGGCTCTACCACCGGCGGTGTCTCCTCGGCCTCCCACGACTGGCACACCTTCCACCGCCAACGGTTCCTCACCCTCGCTCAAAACCTTGACCACTCGCAACACCACACCTACCTCCACCAAACCCAAGGCTCCACCGCCCCAACCACCATCACCACCTCCTTCCTCAACACCCACCACTACCACGTCTCACCCACCCGCATCTTCCAATGCGCCACCCCCCTCGCCTGCCGTCAACAACGCGCCCACTTCCGCACCTTACCCTGGCAACCCGCCGACGCAGCCTTCCAATCCCAACTCGCCTTCGACCTCGACGGCAACGGGATATCAGGACGTTTCTACAAGATACTCGCGAGCCACTCCGCCGTGCTGAAGCAGACACTACTCCGGGAGTGGCACGACGAGCGGCTTAAACCGTGGGTGCATTATGTTCCTGTCAGCATGGGTATGGGGGAACTGCCGGAGATGGTGAGTTGGTTCGTGGAGAGCGCACGCGGGAGACAGTTTGCGGAGGAAGTAGCCAGGGAAGGGAGAGAGTGGATGGGGAAGGGGATGAGGGGGGTGGATGTGAAGGCGTATTTATGGAGGTTGGTGTTGGAGTTGGCGAGGGTCGGGGAGAAAGGGCGTGGGGCGATTAAGGAGGTAGAGTAGCGGATGAGGGGGGAATAGATGGGAACATATAGATGGATAGATGGATGGAGGACGGAGTTTGGGAGGATTTGGTTCTGTGATGGAGGGTTTATGATGGTGATTGATTTAATTTTGGTAATTATTGGATTCGCAGGAAGTTGGGTATTTTACTGATAGACTTGGGTTACATACGTGTAAATACACATGCATAGGATTACACCGTAATGAGCTTTGGCAGTGACTTCAAATTCGCCACAATCCAAGAAGAGGACTAATTTCGTCGTCATGACGGTCGATTATGTTTTTCCGATACGATCTCACCTAATAGCACGATTTTGGGGGGAACCTGTAAACCAAAAGAACGTCACAGTTTTGTCCAACTCCCGAACCGGCCTTTCCCACCTTTCCTCACAGCTGCGGGGTTTACGCCATGTCTTCCATCTTTGATCCCCACACTAGGTATGTACCTACCTACCTAATTAACCTCCTTGCCCTTTCTTCGCAACACGACAAGATGAAAACAGCAGTCGCCACTGGGACCCACTGCCACTTGCAGTTGTTCCCGTATTGCGGCATCTGCACAGATGTCATTTTCAACCTTGAGCCGACGATAGCACGTATGAGACACCGCGCTGGAAACAGGCACTCAGTCCTTGTATCCAGTGGAACTGTTGACTAACATTCACTCAATTTTCCCTTCTAGTCCAGGGAAACAGAGATTCGACGGCGTACGATAAGCATATTGGACCCTTCCCCTTCCCACCCGCACATGGGCAGCTGATCGATGAATATGCTATCGTTCGATATTACCACTGCCCCTTCTGCCTTCGCGGGCCCGAATTTACGGCTGTGCACCAGGATTGTTTTACTTTTTTCCAACAGCTGTACCCAGCCGAGGACGCGTTGCATCGTCTTTGGACCCGAACTGCGTGGCGGAATCCGTGGCGCAATGCCGAACCTTTTCCCTTCCGCCGGTTGACGGTGTATCGGCCGGCTCTAGCGCGCGTTGCACCCCTTTGGGATCTCACTCCTCTGAATGTCCTGCCCCAGGAATTGATTGAGATAATCTGCGATTATTCGGAACATTCATGGCTGTGGAGAACGATGGCGGTTTATCGGTTCGTGCACGGCTTAATATCGAGTGCCACGCCAGAGCCGCTTACTATATTACCGTTGTCTAAAGTCGAGTCGTGGGACCGTGACGGAGCGGTCCCCCTCAAGCAGTTCGAGAGGGGTCAACCTGCATCGCCGTTTCTCGTGTTAAGGTTGACGGTGGACCACGATGGGATCAAGAGGATTGAACGGCTGGCGGAACGGCCCCAGTATTCGCCCCAGTCTGACAACTACAAGGCCTTCATCATCATCGAGGAAAAATCTCTCGCCGGTGTGACTGTCCAGCTCCAGGACCGCCGCCTCCGCCTCATGTGCTCCAACCCCATGCCTTTCCACCTCTGGAACACGCCCACACCCCCGAGCCTGGGTCTGTGTCGTCTCCGGCCGGGCAAGCTCCGCGCCTCCCAAAACCTCCACGCCGTCGAGATGGACAAGATCGACGGTATCACTTTTTTCTTCATGCGCTTCAATGCCCAATACGGCCTCCACATCCACCGCGCCGGTCAGCGCTCCGCGGCCAAATCCATCGCCTGGACCTTCCCGCAAGACGATATCGACCGGGGCCGGGTCCTGTGGGTGTACTTCCCACTCCCCAAGCACGACCGCGTCTTACACTTCGGCATCCGTGAGGGTACCACCTACCGAACCCGCAAAATCCTCATCCGTACGAAACTCTCCGGCGACGTCGTAATCGGCGCACCGTGGGAAACGCCCAACCGCAACATCTGGTTTTCCACCTCTTCCTCTTCCCCACCCTCTCCCATCACCCTAATCTACGGTACCCCCAAGGCGTACAAGGTCCCCCTCCCCGTCCTCGGGGCCGTCGCTACCGCGGAAACGCCCCGGGACAAATACACCACCCCGGACTACTTGGAAAACCTCCCCTCCGAGGACGGATTCGTTCCCGAATCCCCTCCCCCGGAGACCGATCAGCCGGACGTCCCGGAGCTGCCGATGAGCCCGCCGTTTCGGGTCTGCGACGGCCAGCTGTGCCCGATCGAAAACATGGCGCTGTTTTCGTGGGCCCCGTTGCACGGTGTCAAGTCGGCTGTTGTGTTTTACCATGATTATCCTGTCAATGTCAATCCCGTTGGACTAGCCAACCAAGCTGACCCGGCCAATACCGACCACGTTCATCACAACGATGGTTCCCAGGGCAGACCATGCCGAGGTATCCTACTGCATTACCACAACGGTGGGGCGCGTGCGCTCGGTCAGTGTCGCGTGCAGGTGGATGAGAGTAAGGAAGTGCTGAACCCTACGCGGGTAGCGTTTCGGGTTTCGCGATTCGGGGCGCCGCAACTCGATAATTTCATTGTGTGGGTTCGGTTTACGAGTGAGAGCGGCGATGGTAACGGGGACGGGAAGGGTGATGGGGAGGTTACCAGTACCACGGCCACGGACAGCGCAGAGGGCAGCGAGGGCTGGGAGTTGCATGCTATGGAGGGGGTGATGAAGTTTTGGTATAATCACATCGGGGGTTATATCAAAGTGGATGATGTACTTGACGAGTCATAAATTGAGAGACCGGGGCTTAGGCGCATTGATACGTCTGTCATGAGTGATCGGTGTTGGGTTCGTTTTGCAGGTTGTTTCATACGAGCCAGACCACAGTTAGGACAGAGGGATGGTTGACAGAGCCTCGTGGAATGACCGATTTCATCGCTATTATGGCCACCCATGATTAATAACTGCGGTTGTTGGATCATGTGGCTAGCTCCTTAGTATTTCCAGCTCTTCCCACACAACCAAGTTTGTTGCTTATATAGCCATTTCCGGTTCAAGTATTATGCTAGTAATACGTCCCCTCCTCTTTTTAGATAACCGCAAACTGTTGCTGTTGTTGTTGAATTGTTATGTCATTCACGTAATGCTCTAATCACATCCGCGGGCGGGCCGCGCGTCAGGTACTCGACTCAAACTCGAAACAGAGAAATGGTAATCAGAAAATGAAAGGACGCAACGGAGCTGTGTTGTTGACCAGCCAAAAAAGCGGTGGGTGATCAGGGAACACCGGTCTGCATCGTACACCCATGTTTTGAAGGTTCCAATACAGGTCATGACCCAAATATGCTTCAAGCCTGTCTTTTGACAGTAGGCTTTTGCCCCTGCCCGTGCGCGACATTGGATGTCCGTGACATGATGCGGTTTATGGGGGCCGGGCTGGGAAGGGGTGATGAAGACGAGTAGGGCTGCGGGGTGGGTGTCGCTGTTGGGGTAATGGCGGATGGTTTCTACTAGAATGTCAATATGCTTGTCGGAGCCGCTGGCTGATGTTTGTTCCGTGGTGGGCGAAGTCCTGTTGGAAGGAAACAATGTACGCTGTCGCAAAAAAGATGTACTGGACTAGGTATCCCCAGAGTTTGGCATAATTAGCTGGTCTGCCTTCTGATTTAGCTTGCTTGTACAAGTCCAGAGTCAGGAACAAACTCTTATCCTTCATCTCCCAGATAGTTTGGTCCGGTAGCATGTTGACAACGTCACAACCGCCTCATCCTATGCATTCTGCGAAAAAAATCAGGGACGATGGAGGGGTTGCAAGCCTTTTAACAATTTCTCAAACCTTCAAGTTGTCAGAAGACTAAACAACAATTGCTTTGAAGGGATCGGCCAGATGACCTGTTCTTTACCGGCGTTACCAGTGTTTTTTCCCAGCACGAGGTTTCTTCCCGTGCTTGGGAGGGGCGGCTTTCTTTGTCAAACGCGGTTGCCACACACAAAGTAATACAGTAGGAAAGCTCCAACAGGCTTTGGCTCACAAGGTCATCCGATCCGATCACTTGGTAATTGTAGGCCCCCTGACTCCAAAGCTGACCCAGTTACATGACGCTCATAAACCAAAATCTACATAGTTACCACCGCCCCCGACATTGTCAAACTCTTTATTCAACAAACCTGTTTTGTGGTCCGAGTGATCAAAAGCTTTTGCATCCCGTTTCTACTCCCTAGACTCTCCGGCCCAATGGACATGAAAGGAGATTACCCAAACAGGCTTCTCAACCTTCGTTTCCCCTACCTAGATGCCTACCTAGGTACCTATATAAGTCCTTCTGGACCCCATTTGCCCCTTTGTGGGGCCCAATCAATAGCTGTAGTTACTCATCTACTCGAGCTTTTCCCCCCTCTCTCCGGCCGTCCACACTTGCGGCGTAGATGCCGGAGAGCAGTTTGCAGGAGCCAGAGACGCAGGTGGCGCATATTCCAAACAGAAGGCTCAGGGGTGTACCGCTTTTCACGTTGTCCAACATAAGAAACCCCGCATCAATATACGGGAACTATGAAGGGTGGGCAGAGGCGGGGGTGTTGGAGGTGCAGATGTTGGGAGACTCATACTACGAAGGTCGGGGTTTATCACCCGTTCATAGATCTGAGGTGTAGACTGCGCAACGCCCCCGTCCCCCCCTGAGAGGACCATCCGCAAACAACAGCAACCTTCTCAACACTAATTTACAAACATTCCGTTCCTAGAGTAAAGCGACTTGATAATTACTACCTTACTCCATCAATAACCACCAATACCATACATAGCACTAAACTAGAGGCCCCCCCCCCCCCCGAAGAAGGCCCGTGATAATCTCCCGGGCCTCCGGGTCCTCCACGTCAGCGATATTGACTGTATCTCTCCTCTCTTGCAATTCCGAACCCTGGTTCGGGTCGCTGACGATTTCCCTAAACGGGAACTCCCCGGTATACAGTTGCCAGATGCTCAGGCCAAGGGCGTACATGTCATCCTCAATGTTAGGCGGCGGTGGACCGCGTCCTGTTTCTTGAGCCCGCTGCCGCCTGTTCGGAGACTCAAAATCCCATGTAGTACGTCCATCCCAGAGACGCTCATCCTCGTGGATATACCGCGCCTCGTCGAAGTCACAAAGCCGAACCTGACCGTCGTGATCGAGGAGCATGTTGTCCAGTTTGATATCGCCGTGGATGATGCCTTTGGAGTGCAGCTTCTCAACGATGCGAATCATTTGGTGCATGATGGTACGGCGTTGCGACGGCGGCACGGCCCCTGGTGTTGCAATGGGAGTCGCGAGATCCATAATAAAGCCGTTGAAGTAGATCTTGTCGTTTCCGGTGTTCGGTTTCCGGAGCACTTTCCCATGAGCTGGAATGGCGCAGTCCCCGGCGGCCTTTTGAAGCTGATATTCTCGGAATTGGTTACAAAACTTGACAACCTTGGAAGGTTGGCCCTTGATACGGTGGATCTAGCTGCCCGGAGATAACCCAAGCTCAGGGCTTTCAATATCCAGCGTACTAGAATCCACGTCGGGCGGGACCGGCGGCCATGGCTCGTCCTCAGGCAAATCCTCAGACACAAGAGGTTCAGGAAAGGAGGGGTCAATAATATTGAAAGACGGCGGGAGGCGTGGTGGTGGGAACGGTGGATTTGGCGGTGGTGTCGGTGGACGTCCGAAGACCTCGAATGACATCTTGAAGTTGTCGAAGATGGGTGCAGGCCGGGTGAGACGTGGTTGAAAATGAGGGGTTCCAAACTTCGAACCCGAACGACTACTGCCGAGACCTCGACATACTTGTTGGTTTGACAGACCAACCAACTGGCTGCAGGTTGGTTCAAGGCAGCAGTGGGGCTGAAGCAGGGGGTGACGGCGGTGATTTGCTGTTCAGGGCATTTGGAAAATGGATCGTGATTCAAATTGATACATGTAGAAATCGTAATTTGGTAATTATGCTCCAAGCTTACGTTCAGGTATGAGTAACAACTAAAGATGTGTAAACGTCTAGGCAAGGAACGTAGGTGTCTCGTGGTACACGGTTACAATATTGCGGATTGCTTAGTTATAGGTAACAAGGTCAGAAAGGGAAAGAAGAGGAAAAGGGGAAACATGAGGGCAGGGGAAAAGAGATGGGGAAAAAGTAGAGAGAAACAAAGGAACGAAATTAGGACATGTAAAAAAAGACGAAAAAGAAAGGGGCAAAAGGAAAGGAGTGGAAAGCGGAAGGGAAGAGCAAAAGAATACAACATAGTAGGCAGATCGATGATGAAGGTCTAGGCCTAGAACACGACAACATCGTGAGCACTACTATCCTCACTGGCAATCGAATCGGCCACCTGCCGCTCTGGACCTTGATTTACATGACAGAGCCACTAGAACTATAAGGTGTGTAGCATTTGCTTCGAAGGTCTTCAAGCCAACCTTCACACTAGCCGTACTAACCTCTGGTTGTCGTAGAACATAAAAATCATGGCATGTGTTAGTAGGCGGGATTCAGTGATGTCTGAGACAACGAAAGGGTGAGAAAAGTGCTGGGAAGACGAGGAGACATTAATTAGGGTTTTACCAGTCGTGGGAAGGGCCAAACTCCTCTAGGAAGAGGCAATGCTCGCCTAGATTGGTGTTTGGAAGGATGCTGTTTTTGTTTACGTTTAACGTCCGGGAGATGGCCGCATAGTGGACACCTCAGACGCTATATCATGTGATTAAGGATACGCCGAATTGAGTCTAAGATAATTGCAAAAGTAGGTACTGCCCACACGGTGACTCTAGTGCAGTGTCCCCTTTTAAAGCGGTGTTTGGAAGATAGTCACACGGTGCAACGACTTACCCGCAACTTCGGAGTGCGGAAGAGCGGTCAGTGGAACAGATAGATGTCTTTGTACAAGAGCAAATGTATACTTCCCGTCTACATGGCCAGGGCCTGCCCATAGTAATTATGTTCACGATCCGGACTACAGCGTTCATTAAGTACTCCTTTATTACGGCGCGTATTTGTGAAACGGTCCTTCGTTGCGAAAGGTGACGGACGTCGCGTTGCCTCGTTCGAATCATAAGGCAACAGTTGATAGTCAACCAGAGGTTTTGGGGAGAACCTTTAAGTCGTTGAAATGGTGTTGACTTGCCCAAGCGCCTTGGGTACGGCCTGAACAATGTTTCAGCATTCTTGGCTCCATAGGGCCCCTACTTTATGGTCACCTGACAATGGGTGGCCACCGCTTCCCTTGTCGACACGGGGCGGACTTCCTGCGACGCATGGATAGGTCTTGCGATCAGGACCGGGTTCAACTAGTGCCGGACCAAATAATCGAAGAACCTAAAACGTTCAATAATACCATTTGAGCCAACCGTGAGTCTACGGGGTCGTCTTCTTCTGTTGTGGGTCGACCTGTATGTTCCGTGGCTGGTCAAATGTAAATTGCTAGCTTTTATCCTCCCGCCGGGCCCGTTCCAGGAAATTAGAAATCGGGACGCCAGGACAATCAGGTGGCAAGTCAAGCGTACTGGTGGAGATTTGGGGACCAGGTTGCACTGTGAATCTCTTGGGCCTAGTAACTCTCCAGACTTCCCAAGACACGAAACATTACACTACCTATCCGAACAACTAACAAGGCTAGTCCTCCTCAATATGAACGATTGGTACGTTTGGATAGAGATTCGGCCTTGCTCGCCTTGGCAGTCTTGGGCGGCCGACGTGTAACCATATGAAAACCCCTGCTCACGAGATGCCGACTTGCGGAATCGGGCCGCGGATGCAGAGACGAATTGAACAGTGGGGGTGGATCGCTTAGCTCTGATCGGGCTGTGTCCCTCTATCCGTTGAGTGGCCCCCCAAGCTGGACTCAACTGTCTGCATCCCGCGCGGGCCCTTCCCCCAGGCACAGGCTGTTATTGGAGCGGATGTTTGGGTGTTGTCTTTTGTTTAACTACCGTCCAATAGTATGGCCAAGGCAGAATGAAGTTCGTGATGGCTGCTGCTGATGCAGCTATGTTGAGTGAGACTCGAAGCATAAGTCGTGGAAGATTTAAAGTCCCGTGCCAGATGCTAGAGGTCAAATTTATCATGGTCTATCACAAACATACACCGCGCAGATACAGCCGAGAAATGCGCTGCCTCCATGCGCCTCCCCACGGCTAATTCGGATTTGGTGATGTCGGGTTTCTTGAGGTTTCGCCTTTCCTTTCTAAAATTAGCGAGTGATCGGCGGCGAAATGTGATCCCGGACGGCGATCCACAAAACCCGGTGTTGATGATTTGGAGTTGGGGGGTTGCGGTTGCTGGGGTGCATCGCGTCGCAGATGGCCATTGGGGAGTTGGTGTGTTGTTTGGTTCGAGACGGGTCAGTCACGGGTCAGGTCGGTCAGGTCACGTTTCAGCTTGTTCCGGATACCTGGTTCTACGAGCATTGAAGCTCACGGCCCGTGTCCGAGCCCAGAATATTTTGAGCTCGCAGTTCGAACACCTTGAGCAAAGATTTGCGTTTGCAACCGGGTTTCTGGAGCGGGTGCGAAGTCGATCAAGAAACGTTGAGAATGCTGATCATGATGAGCGAAGCTTGTGATTGGCCCCATTTGCTGCCGTAATATATGACTAAGCTTTGCCGACGATCCGTTCTGGAACCCCAACTCAATCCAACAGAGCTTCTTCCCCGCAAAATGATTCTCACAAGGATGCCGCGCTGATCAATTTTCCTGCACCTCCCCGCACTGAACATTCTCGCCTGTTGTCGCGGTGCGCCTGCTTCCGCCCCTAGACATCGCTAAGTTCGTCGGAGCCAGGGCCGGGGCCGTGATGAGAGGAGCAGGAGAGCATTTCCAAACGTTCCTGATAGCGTCGAGTGCCGTCTTCAATGCCGCGTGCAATACCGGACGAAGGTATTGTTCTGCAAGTTGGTGTCCCAGATGCGCGGCTACAAGCAGCTGATCCACGTGCCCCTGGATCGCAGCATCTCCCGTTGCATTCAAGACGACCTTACTTCCACTCTCGAGGCGCCTCATTGGCGCGCATCATCTTCTAAAATGCGACTGGGGAGGGTAGCAGCATGGATCCGGAGACGACAGGCCGTTGCGTTCCCCAGAGGTTTTGTTTCCGAGTGCATCGCGAAGCGGATTCGCGGAAGTTTTGGGGATCGGAAGATCGGGCGCCGAAAATCCGGGTGAAACGATTATTTCGCTCCGACTACCCGGTTGGGCCGTGTTCCCTGGACCACTATCCCCGATCTGTCCAGGTTACCGGTCGAGAACTCGGCTACCCGTCTCACAGCAAAGCCACGCTCGCGCTTCGCTTGCGCTCCTCGTGAAGATGCCGATGGCGCTTTTCACAAGACTTCATACTAACGAAAGGAGGTGGGCTGTCAAACACCTAGCCCAGAGTCTTGGGCGGAGGATGCTGCGAGCGAGGGTTTGCACGGCGTTACAGAGCCCGGAGAGTCAGGTGTAAGGTTGCGAAACCAAGCCGCACTAGCGTGGGCTCGATTCTTGGAGGACAAGCCCGATAGAGGACATGGGTAACATGAGGTACCAGCCAGCCTATACGGATATTGTGCACCTTATATTCAAGCTAGACGACGCCGAATTTGGTCCCGCGTCTGAGGCTGGTCCCCAACTTCTTCGCTCGTCCCACCTGCCTGCAGCTCCCGTCACCACGAACGAAACAAGTCCGCCATGAAGCTCACCACCGCCATCGCCTTGCTCGGGTCGGGGCTCCCCGTGGCCCACGGCGCCTGCAGCCTCCCATCCAGCTACCGGTGGACGTCGTCCAATGCCCTGGCGCAGCCCAAGAACGGCTGGGCCAACCTCAAGGACTTTACCCACGTGCCATACAACGGCAAGCATCTCGTGTATGGGTCCTACTATGGAAGCGCCTATGGGTCCATGAACTTTGGCGTCTTCTCGGACTGGTCTGAGATGGGCTCCGTCAGCCAGAACCAGATGAGCTCAGCCGCTGTCGCGCCGACCCTCTTCTTCTTCGAGCCCAAGAACATCTGGGTCTTGGCCTATCAATGGGGAGCGACCGCCTTCTCGTACCGCACGTCGTCCGACCCCACCAACGCGAACGGCTGGTCGGCGGCGCAGCCGCTCTTCTCGGGCAGCATCTCCGGCTCCGGTACGGGGCCGATCGACCAGACCCTGATCGGCGACAGCAGCAACATGTACCTCTTCTTCGCTGGCGACAACGGCAAGATCTACCGCTCCAAGATGGCCCTCGGCAGCTTCCCGGGCAACTTCGGCACCTCCGCGGAAGTCATCCTCAGCGGCGGGCAGTACGATCTCTTCGAGGCCGTACAAGTGTACACCGTCTCCGGCCAGAGCTCGCCGCTGTACCTCATGATCATCGAATCGATCGGCTCCGGCGGCCGGTACTTCCGATCCTACACGGCCACCAACCTCGGTGGGTCGTGGTCGCCCCAAGCCACCAGCGAGAGCGCACCCTTCGCGGGCAAGGCCAACAGCGGCGCGTCCTGGACCAGCGACATCAGCCACGGCGATCTCATCCGCAGCGGACCTGACCAGACCTTCCCCATCGACCCGTGCAACCTGCAGCTGCTGTACCAGGGCCGTTCCGGCGACAACTCCGACTACAACAAGCTGCCGTACCGGCCTGGTCTGCTCACGCTGCAGGGGGCTAACGGCGGGAGCCCCTCGCCCACGACCACGAGCAAGCCGCCGACGAATACAGGCGGTAGTGGGAGCGGTACCGCTGCGCACTTTGCGCAGTGTGGTGGTCAGGGGTACACCGGCCCGACGACGTGTGAGAGCCCGTACAAGTGCACGTTCTCGAACGATTGTGAGTTTTTCTGAGTTTCTTCTTCTTCGTATCCTGTTTGCTTTGACATCACGTTGCTGACGAAATATTTTCCAGGGTACTCCCAGTGCCTGTAAATAGTGAAACACTGGTGGTGAAGGGGGGTCACAGGGGAAGGACTGGAACGGCCGGGCCAGATCGGGCTCGGGGACAGGGGTAGCTTGGACGGCATAAAGACACGGACAAGGGTGGGGAGGTTGATGTGAAGCCCTCGCTCCGCTAGATCCAAGTTGTAAATATTGAACATATTGCGAAACCGAGTAACTAGTCATGTTTCTGGTCCAATTTTTGTGCGCGGCTATTCTATTCTATTTTCTTGCATCTCAATAATCAAGAGCCCAGTGAATAATCCGGGGAAGCTTAAAAATGCCAAGATTCTTAAGCGCAGTTCCACACGCATTCCACACGTTTCCGCCTCAAGGCTTTTTTCCGCATCTCAGTCCCAACCTTATTAGCCGAAACCCCGGGTTATGGTACCATTCGAAAGGGTCCAAAGGGCCTGGAAGGCAGACGGTAACCCGGTCACAAGACTGAACCAGCCGATTCGGTACCGCTAAAAAAAGACACCATCCTCGGCAAACACAATGCAAACCTACCTGAATGACACGGCTGGAGCTGCCGCATTCGTCACGGACCTGAGCCCCCCAGCAAATCCGCCATAACCTCAACCCAAAGGAGTAACCAGGAACACAACGCCGCATGTTCACCGTCGGTTTCCGTCCTCGCTTTTACAGCCCCGCGCCCCCCTCGAAAGAATATCGGAGAAACAACCTTCCACGAAACAAGCTCACACTGGGCCCGGCAAATCTGTAGCTGTCCATCGCGCCAAACCCCCAGTTAGCCGCTTGCGGACAGCCCGCAAGGCGAGCCTAGAATTTGGACAAACCCGCGACAGCCAAGCCAAGCCCGGGCCCGCCCACGATGCCCTCGCTGAATTAGCCCTGGGATTTCTGAACCGAAGAGCATTCCGACAGGACCGACACCATTTCCCCGGGATGTGATAGGTGCGGCTACCGCCGATACAGTACTAGGTAGGTTGTATTATTGAGATTTGAGGGCGCCGGCGAGAAGGAAGAAGCTGAACCGCGGCCGGCGCGCTTGTTCCGTTCGGGGTGGATTCGGAGGGTACTCCGTGAGAACGGACCGAAACATGGAATACATATAACGAACCGGGCGCTCCTCTTGGGTTGTTCGTGATCTTGTTTGTTCTTATCATCCCTCACCAGCCCATCTCCCTTCCACCTACAGTCTTCCTCGGAGTCACAGTCATGGTTTCTAAGACCCTCCTGCTCGCTCTCGCCCCCGCGGCTGCGGTCGCCCAGTCCCCTCTGTGGGGCCAGTGTATGTGACGACTTTCTTTTCACGAACTATCGTCGGTCAAACTCAGGCTAATTTGTTTTTCTTTCTGTAGGCGGTGGCATCGGTTGGACCGGTCCTACGACCTGCGCTTCTGGCTCGGTTTGCCAGAAGAGCAAGTAAGTAAAATGCTTCTGCTAGAAGAGAGGCGTTTGCTAACCACCTCCCAGTGACTACTACTCGCAGTGTGTGCCTGGGTCTGGCGGCGGCACCCCTACCACCACTGGAGGCAGCACCACCCCGACCAACGGCGGCGGCAGCAACGGCGCGAACGACCTGAACGACAAGTTCAAGGCCAAGGGCAAGCTCTACTTCGGCACGGAGATCGACTCGTACCATCTCAACAACAACGCGTTGACCACCGTTGTCAAGAACGACTTTGGTCAAATCACCCACGAGAACTCGCTCAAGTGGGATGCTACTGAGCGTGAGCATTCCCTGTTTTTTTTTCCCTCCGAAAGAAGGAAAAATAGAAAGACAAGAAAAAAACTAACATGTGAATCCAGCAAGCCGCGGCAACTTCAACTTCGCCAACGCCGACGCCGTCGTCAACTTCGCGACCTCCAACGGCAAGCTCATCCGCGGCCACAACCTCCTGTGGCACTCCCAGCTGCCCTCGTGGGTGTCGGCCATCAACGACCGCAACACCCTGACCTCGGTCATCCAAAACCACGTCACCACCCTGGTGACCCGCTACAAGGGCAAGATCCTTCAGTGGGACGTCGTCAACGAGATCTTCGCCGAGGACGGTTCCCTCCGCGACAGCGTCTTCAGCCGCGTGCTGGGCGAGGACTTCGTCGGCATCGCCTTCAAGGCCGCGCGCGCCGCCGACCCCAACGCCAAGCTGTACATCAACGACTACAACCTGGACATTGCCAACTACGCCAAGGTCACCAACGGCATGGTCGCCCACGTCAACAAGTGGATTTCCCAGGGTATTCCCATTGATGGTATCGGTTCGCAGTGCCACTTGGCTGCTCCCGGTGGGTGGAACTCGGCTTCGGGCGTTCCCGCTGCGCTGAAGGCGCTTGCTGCGTCGAATGTGGCGGAGATTGCGATTACGGAGTTGGATATCTCGGGTGCTGCGGCCAACGACTACTTGACGGTTATGAACGGCTGCTTGGCGGTGCCCAAGTGCGTGGGTATCACCGTTTGGGGTGTCTCGGACAAGGACAGCTGGCGGTCGAGCGACAACCCGCTGCTGTTTGATGGCAACTACCAGCCTAAGGCGGCGTACAATGCTCTGGTCAGTGCTTTGTAAGGGGTGTTAAGCAGGCAAGGGTAAAAGCGATATGGGAGTGGGTAGCTGCAAGGAAAACAGGGATTGTCAGAGAATACCTAGGTACCTAGCTGAATCAATGCCACCTACTATTCAACGCGATACTTATTGCTATGATAAATCCAACTGTGCCACTGCCTCACGTTCTTCCGGTGTAATCAGTAAATCACACAATCCTCACAACTCCTCCCAAGTTCTACTAACCCAAATCCCTTCACTAATTATTACCTCTCATCAACTAAGATCCAATCTAGCTTCACCGCGCCACAACAAGGAACATTCGAAGATATACGACTCAACCCGCAAACCTCCCCCTCCCCACCCCCCTCACAAACACCCTCGCCACATACCGTATCCCCAGCCTGTTCGCCGCGTGGTCCCACAGTGGCGACAGCCTATCTTCCCCGACATGCTCCGGTCGACAATACCGGTTCAACCCCCGCTCCACCATCTCCATATGCTTTTTACCGCTCCTCGTCCACCGTATTGGGAATGACTTCTGCCCCGACTGGTACATGTAATCTGCCTCGATGGTTAAGGCGTCAAGCTCGGCTGGGGTGAGGCGTCGGAGGCGTAAGGGCTGGTTAGACCTGGGGTTGAAGTTGGAGTTGTTGGGGTCAGGGTCGCCATTGGAGAGTGAGTCTGGATCGACGTCGGTGTCAAAGGCAAAGGTGCCCGACGCCGCGGGGTACACAACAGACAGGGTCTGCAGCGACGTTAAGCGGGGGATGGCAGGCTCCAGAAACAGGGTGATAGAGAGGCCGAGAGCGAGGTGGCGGACTTCAGTCACCCAGGCGGGGCCGCCGAAGCTGCAGTGGTGGCCGGTGAAATGGCGGAAGCTCCGGGGGCGCAGGAAGAGGATGTCGATAGCCGGGTCGTAGAGGCGGGTGATCGGAGGGGAGACGAGGGCGATGTCGTGGGCTTCGGTGTTGGTGGCGAGGATGTTGATGTTGGCGGGCTCTTGGACGGTGAGGTTGCCGGGTTTGTGGTTGGTGGTGTTGCCGGCGGTGGGCGCGGGGAAGAAGCAGATGCCGGGGGTGTAGGCGGGTTCGGAGGCTGCGATGCGCCATATTTCCTGGCGGATGTCTGCGGGTAGGCGGCTGAAGAGAGTGAAGGTGGACGGTTCGGTGTCTTTGCTGTTTTCAATCATTGGCGACGAATTATTGACTTGGATTTGGTTGGTTGGTCGGTTGTCTAGTCTGGGTATTATAGGGTACCTAGGTACAGTACCTAATGAGAAAGTGAGACTCTCGCATAGGTGAATTGGGGACTGGGGGAAGTACAGACGTCTTTGACTTTGGATGACTCCCTCTATCAAATTCTTCGTACTTGTCGTTGGAGCGGCCTACGTGGTGTTCTTGGGATCGACACCCAATGCCCAATCAGCCGAACTCTTCGAAGGACCGAAATGCCCCAAAAACAGCTCGCGGCGGAGACCCTGGCTGCGCCACTTACCATCGGTGCTGAAAAAAAAAAGCCCAAACTTTGATTGCCACTCCTCTGTGCGTTTTTACATGGCACCCACGATAGGTACGGCCTAAGGGACTGGATAAAGAGAGCTGAGAGCTAAGATGCCATGCGGCACCCTCGACGGCCCACCAATTCACCAAACAGCCGCGGGGTCTAATAGGTACCTACTTACTCGTAATGGCCACTCTTGTACCTGAGACCATCGAGTAATTACGGTGTTTCAAAAGATTTCCGATCACAAAATTCTCTATTTCCATTTTGCACAGACTAAATGATCCATCGTTCATTTGACAGGTTCACCTGACGGGGAATTGTCGAGATGGCAAAGTTACACTAGGAACAAACAAAACTACAACGTAGTTCTACAGGGTATTGGCATTCGAGAAGAGTCTATGATAGAGTTAAGAGTCCAATCCAATTTCCGTTGAAGGGACAAGTTTACCTACCTAGTCTCAACTCTTCTAAAAGCCCCTACACTCCGTTCAGTTGGATGACGTAATTAATGCTCACCTCCCCGCGACGATTTCACACCAATACCAAGCGTAACAGTTCATGTTTTCACCACATTAATATCCGCCCAAGATGATGTGGCCAAATACGTAGAAACGTCTTTCACCTCGTCCTCGAGTCAAACTCAAATCTAGCCGTCTTATACAAAGAAGCCGACGACCTCTATCCGGTTAATTAATGCCACCTGAGTTCGCTGCCGAGCTTCTTATATGTGCCTAGCAACCCAAAGTTCAGATTTCCTTAGGCGTCTTTATTTACATTTATGTTGTGGGCGTTCACCACTGGTTTCGGGGTTCAACAGCAGACATCTATGTGTGTTATACGTCCGCCTTATAATACGCCTCCGATACCCCTCGGCTATCGCCTGGCCAACTGCATCTCTTACAAATGGTCCCAGCCCAATGATGCGCGGGGTCACTGTGTGATATTACGCAGCCTCCCAAATGATCTACCGGCAGAGGGTGCATCCAGGTACTGCTCGCTCTACCAGCGGTACCTCGCTGACTGCCGGTGCAATGACAAATTTACCGGCGCCGGAATAAGGAACACGGACGCGGCATATCGGTTTTACCACGGGTCTAATTGGTCATCCAACAGCTTGCCCTGAGCATCTTGTGCGACAGTATGATCGAGTAGCCATTCAAAGGAATTGTTGTGTCGCAGCTCGCTTGCATCCTCGCATACAGCCCTTGCAGGTAGTCGGGGGGTAATGATCGTCGACGGCAGGTATTAATACGCCCAACCCAACAGTCAACTTCCCCTCCCGTAAACCGTCAGAACCTTCCGATCACCAAGAAACACTTACCCTTTTTCATAACCCACCCCAACCTGAACCACCAAACAAACCCCCCAAGTCACCATGCGCCTTACCCGCCTCCTCCTCCCCCTCCTCCCCCTCATCCCCCCCACAACCCCCCTCAACATAGCCTGCATCTCCGACTGGATCGAACACACCCCTCTCTTCCACACCGCCCAACACCTCTACGCCGGCCCAGACGTCGCCACCCTCTCCCGCGGCGGCGTCGTCAACCTCATCGACGGCACTTTCCCCTCTGTCGACCTCGGCGCCAACGCCGAAACCCAGGGTCTCAAACAATACGTTCAACACCGCAATATCCGGCTTATTGGGATTATTGTTGAGGTTCCCTACCGGCTTGTCGCGAATACTGCAAGGGCGAATATCACGGCGCTAACTGATTTGCGTGGGAAACGTATTGGGACGATTCCGGGTACGTCGGCGGAGGTGTTTATTCGACAACTCCTCGCGACTGTGGGGCTGCAAGCAGGGACAGACTACCAAATTGTTTCAGGCAACGTGTGCATGCGTGAGCCATGCGCGGCGGATACGCTCCCGGAGCAACTGCGTGCAGGACAGATTGACGCCTTCGGAATATGGGAGACGTCAGTGGAGTTAGGGGTGCGCGCGCTAGGGGGGTTGGTGGAAAATGGGGGGACTGGGACGGCGGTAACGTTTCAGGATTTGGAGGTGTATCGGGTGTACAGTTTGTATAGCACGATGGAGAAACTGGCAGATCCACAGACCCGGAAAAGGATTGTGGCGTTTGTGAAGGGGTTGGCGCAGGCGTATGAGGTGTTTAAGGCAGAGGGGGAGGAGGTCTTGGGAGAAGTTGCACAGAGGGTTGGGGTGGATGGGGATGTGTTGAAGGCGGTTTGGGGGGATCATCTGTGGGGGCCGGGGGACTTGGGGGACAGGTTGTTGGAATTTTTGAATAGGGAGGATGAGTATTTGGCGGGGGTGGATAAGAGGCAAAGGTTGACGAAGGAGGAGTTGAAGACGTTTGTGGATGCTAGTGTATATGCAGAGGCGGCTGCTGACTTGCAATAGGGGTCGATTTAGGGGGTTCGAGAAAAAGAGGTGATGGCGCCGGTGCCAGTGCCAAAGACCATGGTAGGCGGAGCGCTGTCGTTGAGGATGGGGTCTAGCAGGGCATTCAAGGGTGGTTGTTCAAAGGTGCGGTCAACAAAAAATACAGTCATTAGTAAAGCGAATTCCTTCCGACCGGAGCTGTTGTTTCAATATGTAATAGATAACATGAAGGACAGGCAGAATTTGCACGTCCGTCGAACGGCGCGAAAGAGGAAGACTAGGCAAGAACCACAAACTGAGACCCGTATCCTCAGAACCGTCTGTTAAAAACGGTAGTCGAGAGGAAGATTTTTACATACAAAAAATTGGCCCTCACTAACAGATGATACGAACGATGGCAGATAACGATAACTCATTGCATCTGCCTCGCATGATAGTGCCGGCTCTCAGCGGAAGGGCAATGGTGTCACCAGAGACAGCAGGTCATTACTTCCATTTATAGCAAGTTATTACTGTGGAGCCCGGACTGGCTTCCATCAAGTCCCGATGGAGTATGGTTGTTAAGGACCTGGATCTGCTGCCACTTGCAATGCGGACCAGAGCGGCATCAATCAATCAGCGACGGGACGACGTTGAGTGGTCGCCGGTTGATTTGTAGCGTTATTAGCTCCCCAAAGGTAGCAACAATCCCAATCAAACCCATCAGGTTAATTTTTGTCCCCAAGAGGACATGCCGCAGCTATATACTCACCATCTGCCCTGTCTATCCATCGGTAAATACCCTCGTATATGGTGATTCGTGAATTCGACCTTGACCTCAACCGAGCATACCAAGAGCCTTAGATTCATCCCATTCACCATCGTGACTAGATTAGGTACAAATCGAAATGAATGCATCATTTCTCCTCATCCTCCGCATAGTGGTGCAGCCGATTCTCCTCCAAATACTCATCCAACAACTCCGCCACCTTGTCATTGTCCAAGTCCGCAAACGCAATGTGCGTCGTCCCCTTCAGCCCCTTTTCCTTCCCCAACAAAATCACCTCCGCATTCCCCCCATAACTATTAATCCACTCCGCCGCCTGCCTCGACTGGTTCAAATAAATAAAGCTCTCCTCCCGATGATCCCCAAACAAAAACTGAATCGACCTCACCTTGGCCAGCTTCTTAAACTCCTCCTCCGGCACCACAATCGGCCCAAACGGATTCAGCCCCGGCCCCGGCGCGACCCCGGCCGTATCCGGAAACACATACCCAAAACTCTCATAACACACAATCCCCTTAATATTCGTCGTATTACTCTTCACCGCCGTCATCTGCGCCCTCAACCCACTGGCCGAATTCGTCAAATACACAATCTCCTCCCCCAACCGTCCCGAATCCGCCGCCACCACCGCCGCATCCGTCTCCAACTCCACACTCGCTTCCGAATCAAACTCCTGATACCGTCCACTCGTCGCCTGATGCCACGCCTCCTCACTCTCCGTGGGGAACTGCACATCATCCCACCACTCCGGCCAGCGGGGTCCAAAATTCCACGCTACGAAATTCCCCTGATCCCGATAATCCGGCGCGTAGCTCGTCGGGGCACACGCCCAGTTCGCCCTGCCCACCCGGGGCCCATCCCAGAGATAGACGGGGTAGTCGCGACGGAGGAACTTGTCTTTGAACCCTTCGCCGCCGTCCCAGCGGTTTTGAAAGGTTTGCGTGCTGGAGGAGTGCCACATGACGATGCTTGTGCGGCGGGGACGCCAAGGCGTGAAGTATTCGATGTAGCCGTGGTCGCAGGAGAGGGTTATGTTGGGGATGGTGGGGTGGGGGATAACGCGGCCGCCGATGGTGAAACCGCCGGATTGGCGGAGGAGGATTGGTTTGGAGGGGTGGAAGGGTTTGGGAGGGTGGTTGGTGGCGGCCAGGGTGGGGGTTGTGAGGGTGGTTGCGAGGAGGAGGGTGAGGGTGTGGATGTTGGGGATCATGATGATGGTGGTAGTGGTGGTAGTGGTGGTGATGGTGGTGATGGTGGTGATGGTGGCGGTGGTGGTGGTGGTAGTGGTCTTGGCTTGCTTGGAAGAGCTCGAAAATGAGAGTTCTGGGGGACACAAAGACGAGCTGAGAAACGCGGGGCTTAGCTGGTCGGTACTTAGGAAACACAGAGTGATGTTACTGGTGCATCTCTTATACCACTCACTCACCACGCCAAGGACGCCACTCCTCATCATCACTGGGAACGGCCATCTGCCGACACTTACACTGCATGGTGGCTGACCGGCTACGGCTCACCGGGGAAGTATTACGTGAAGGCTGACCAAAAAGGGGTTTTACCATAGTAGCTCTAATTATACCGGCACTAGGATTGTGTAACGGCCCTCCGCACGGGCAATATAACTCCGCGGACATACGAGACTCGGATTGCTGCTGGGCCTTGGCGTCCCGAATTTAAGTACCAGGCCGGGAAATCTAGACGGCTCGCCAAGAAGGGGGAGAAGCTTGTGTAACTCTCCAAGACTTGGCTACTCCTGCGAGGTTCTTGTGCTTGGAAAGCATTGTTCCGAATCAGGGGAGGTGAGGAGTGGTATGTTAATACTTACATACCTCCTATACCAAACCGCCAAGCTTTCCTTGGTGTTCCAAGGAAAGTTTCAGTAATTAGCACACAGAGTTTACACCAGCTCGCGGGTCTACAACAAGTCAAGTTAGCGCAATTGTAATAGTTGCATTGCGAGTCTATGTTTACACTCCACACGGGAGGAGGTTATAAAATAGTCTAACGGAATTGTGTCGGGTCTTACCTCCACCTATGTCATGTTTGTAAAGATATAGTTCTGGTAACCTCATGTCTCATGTGTGTAACACTCAGACGTTCGCTAAAGAGTCATTTCTCTTGGCAATCTTCGAAATCCTACAAGAACCTGTATCAGATCCTCGAGGTGTACTCATCTCAAATGCCCCACCCGGCCGCTCAATTAAACCCTCTCAAACCCAAGGCTTAACGCCTGCCAAGGCAGATTTAGAAACGGGTTGAGAAAAGGGCAACAAACATGCAAACCCCTTGTGTTTACCGTTTAGTCAGAATAATACAGACACAACGGGCGCCGCAACAAACTTCCTTCCTACTTGAATTTCACCAAGATCACAGGACACAACTAGGAGTAGTTGGGTACCTAGGTAGTTAGTTCATAATCCACCTTCATCACGTATGTTATCCTCCGGGTTCTGTGATCTACATTTGGGTCTTCCTATTTATTCAGACAACAATCCCAGAACTCGTGCACCGACTGAACGGAATGAATCAACCTAGTTGACTTAATTACGAACCCACCTAGTTCTGCTCCCATCGTCACACAAGGAAGAACGAGGGTTACAACGAGCTCTTGCCATGCGGATATTCCCTCACCTATCCTAAGTGGAAGGGTTTAACCTGCGTTGAACTCAGACTTATCCCCAGACCGAAAACACCAAGCATAGCACAGCTGTGTTCGGTGTTAGTCACAACGACCTGAGCAGATTCTGCTTGCTTGGCGCGTTTGCCATCGAAAGGTGCAATATCAACACGACCCGTTCACTGAGGAACAACCTCGGCGTTCCAAAATCACATTCAGACATTTTGCACTGTACGAGATTGCACCGTCTTCCATTCCGTTGAGGACTTGAAGTGAATCCGAGCAACCCGACTCTCACCAGGATATTTATCCAGAATCTAACCGACGAAGTGTTGAGAATCGCAAGTTCTGGACCCTGTATCTTGACGTGACTTCGGCAAAGCCTGCGCCCAGGACATGCTCAAAGCCATGACACGATTGGAAATATGAGGCCAAAAAGTTGACAGGACACAAACGCGCGAGATCTGGGCCTCTCCGTCCGAAAATAGAACATGACCCGCCAGTGGGAGGGCCGATGCCTCGGCAGTTTCCCGAAATGGAGCACCCCCCACCACCAATACCACCTGATCAACACCTTGTTTGGATATTGGGTATGATCCCGTCGTGTGTGCTCCACCCCCCACTCGGCTCAACGTCAAGGAGGCTTACTTCTCCCGGTACCACATCCGGCGATGGGTCTTCTTACATTTGCCAAGCCAATTTCCGAAATGCCACGACGGCGAGGTACAAGTATCCGTATTCAGCCTCCAAAAGAAGGATTCAAAATAAAACTTTGGAGTTTTCTCACTTTCTTATCAAATTAAGACGAAAGTAGTGTAGTGTAACGCAACCAACATGGTGTCCTTCCGTCTCGCCACCATCGTGGCCCTCGCCGCGTCCTTCGTGTCGGCCTCGGTGCCCAAGTCCGCCCACTTCGACCTAACCGAGCCATCCTACGACCTCTTCCGCAGCAAACCACTGCACGACGACACCGTCCAGCAAGGCTTCGCCTTCGACAACACAAACCGGCGGCTCTTCGTCTCCCAACGCCTCAACGGCGCCTCCGACACCTCCGGCAACCTGTGCATCACCCAACTCGACTTCTCCGGCAAGATTCTCGGCCACATGCACTTGACTGGCTTCGGCCACGGCGTGGCCTTCGGCGCCCAAGCCTCCGGGTCCTCAACCTACCTCTGGACCGAAACCGACGTCAACTCTAACGGCTACGGCCAAAAGCTCGGGCGGTTCAAGTTCGTCAACGGCGCTACCCTGTCCCACACCTCCAGCAGCGTGCAAAAGTTCTCTCCCGTCTCCGGCGGGAAAGAGTACACCGCCTCCATCGACCCCGTCAACAGCCGTCTTGTGGTGCGCTACCAGCTCTCCGACGGCAAGCACATCGCGCTGTACGACCTGGCGGCCGCGACCAAGGGTGACTTCTCGGCCCCGCTTGTCAACTTCAAGCAACCGCTGCCGCCGACAAAGGGGAAGAACTTCCAGGGGTATACCGCCTACGGGAGTTTCTTGTATCTGCTGTGGGGGGATTCGTACGATGTCAGCTCGACGCTGAACTCGGAGGTTGCTGCTGTGGATCTGAACACCGGCGCTGTCACGCAGGGCCCGGTGTTGACTAAGGCTGGGTCGACGCTGAGTTTCCGCGAGCCGGAAGGGTTGGCGATTTATGAGACTGCGGCTGGGGAGGTGAGGCTGTTTTTGGGGTTTGCGTCGGGTGCTGCGGGGGATAGGCGGTCGAATTTGTTTTATAAGAATGCGACGGTTGCTTAAGAGTGTGGGTGGGGGGGTAATTAATTAGTTGGTCAGGCGAGCGTACATAGTGGCCGGTTTGTTGTAATTACCTATATGCCACTGGCTGTCTTTCGTGACCAGCCAACTTCTGTTGTCGTGGGGATTACTTCTGTTCGTTCTTCAGAACTTGCCCAGGTCATCGATAATTGCAGCTTTGGAACAATTTGGGATTCGCTTCAGACATGTGCACGACATGATATGTTCGCCAGCCGATTGCGATTTAGCCCGGAAATGCCAATAAAGTCTTAATTTCCTCCTGATCCAAATTACAACGATACATCACAAGCAATCGTACTTCTGCGCAATTAAGGGAATCTAACAATTCATTTCGTACGATATCAGATTCAGCCGATTAAGGTTGACTAAAACTCTGTGCCATTTGCTTCCCACCCTCAATCTCTCGTCGTAATAGTCGCAAGGGGATCCCTCGGGATTAGTCGAGGCCAGCGTCTTACTGAGGGGTGCAGCCGAAAGAGATAAACTAAATGAAGTACGCCGCAGCAGTTAGAAACCTTCAAACACGATCTGCATTATGCACCGGATTTCCAGATCGACTTACTCCGGCTTGTCGACAGCATCCAGCGGCACGATCGCTAGATGCGCATATTTCTCGCAAAACGTCGACGGGAGCGGACAGGCCAGGATCTGGTTATAGGGAAGAGAAATTAATAATCACTTCTGCATCGGGTGATGAGCATCAAAACCAGGCAGCCCGCCTACAAAAAAAGTGCAAGCAAGAGTCCGTAGAAAAAGAAGTGCGAGACCCAACTTACAAGGGGTGCATTCAACGCCCTGATCAGCAGGATAAGCGATGCAGCAAACCGGAGTCACACCCGGGCTGCACGCGGTCTCTTGCTGTCTCTCGATGAGAGTTACCGGCGTGGCTGAAGCCAGCACAGCAGAGAGAATGGTGAACATAGCCGTGGAAAACTTCATTCTGATGGTTGCCCTGTTGAACTAAGGTGGACACTGGGGGAGTTTGAGCGTTGTGTGAAGGCACGGGTCGGTCTGGTGATTGAGGTTGGAATGGTGAGAAGATTCTGGGAGACATTTTACAGCGCCTATCCAGGGCATTAAATACAACTTGGGCTGGGCGTCCCCGTGATGAGAAAGTTAATCTTTCCCAACAAAACATTAACTAACTCCGTGATGCTGTCCATCTTGGGGGCCCCACTCGGCTCGTCCTCCTCACCGGTCAACGCCAATTCCTGTTCGACGTGGCAGCAATCAGGTGCCGGTGTTCCCGGAACTGGGCTAGTCATCCAGCTCACAGTGTGTAAGACATTGATCCATTTCCGGGCTAGATCGACCCCGGCTCAGCTAGCATAGATCCTAGTCCCATTCCTAGGAGAGCGTCCAAGATGTCCCTTGAAACCACAGAGCAGCAAGGCAAGAGAGAATCGGACTCCGAGATTTCATCACGAGCCGATTGTGGCAGAACGCATTCGCTAACATCAAAATCATGGGCTGGCCTTGGACGCTTCGGCATCTGTTGATCTGATTTTGTTGAATCAGTCGGGGAAGTGCGCATCACTTTGAGCGGGTTATGCCACTGAGGCATTGACAGCTGGCTTGAGTCAAAACAGAAACACTTCATGCAGGCGATCTCGGAACCGGGGTGATTAACAAGGGTCTGTTATGAGAGCAATTGGATCAGTCAATCCATCACCGTAATGGGTGTCGGTGATTGGCTGCGGCTGCAGCGGAAGCTCCTCTTCATATGTTGCAAGAAGGAGGTCTGATGACAACAAAATAGAGAGTACCTATAATACACGACTGAAATTTCCCCACGACCCATCCCCTTATTTTACCGACAATGTCAACGCCCCCGGCAGCGCATTCCAATCTGTTTCATGCCGATTTGACCTCTCCTGTGGGAACCAGATCATGGGCACATGCACTTCATCCCACATTTCCACTCCAACAGAAGCCAACAACTCCGGGTGGTGTTTTCCGCGACCCACTTTGACGATCACTGAGGCGGCTTGCTTGTCACACCGGTGGTTCAGGACTCAGGTTAACCAACCTTAAACCGCGACTTTGATGCACGTCAAAGCCGACAGCGGTATTGTAGTGGAAGATCTTGCCTTTCCCGTCTCCCTGTAGAGTGTGATTAATTGTGTGGGGGGAGTTCATGAGTTCTGAGAAATCAAGAGACCCCGGAACTTGGTAACAACACTCGGAGTGAAAGCTGAACAACGAATGGCTTCATCCACAAAGTATGACAGGTATAGTACAAAGTGGTATATATCGTCTGTTGCAAGAAGTGAAATGACTTGACGTCACCCAGTCTCGCAACTTCTCGTCATCACATAATTTAGATCGAAAAGGTGATATAAAAGGTGTTCGCCTCTCACGCAGCGAAACACATGTAACTAACGTTTTCGAAATGCGCTCTATACTGGACATGCTGTATGGGCAGTAATGACCCCTTGCATGTGTATTTGGCCTGGCTCAGCACCTCTTCACATGCTAGAGGCACCTGGGGTACCCACCCAACCAATGCGTTCGTTTGCTTCTCTCTGGATCACAGGCTGTTTTTGTTGACGGTCGCTACGCCACGGTGTGGCTCTTACATCCTGAGGCCAGGATACATGTAGCATGCCGGCCCACGGAGCTTCCGTCATGCCGGGAAACAGTTGGTGTGCGTGCGTTGAGAATCTTTGGGGTGGGACGGGGTACACGTGATGCACCCAGAGGCTGTAGCCGAGATCCTGAGATGCGCAGTTCCAGTTTTGCGGCCCTCCTCTAGAGTCGGCACAATTTCAAGGCGGGGCACCTGAGTTTCCAGCTGTGCCCTATTCGTGGCCCTGGCCGCAACTTTCGTCGCTGATGGCTGGGCCCAGGACTGGAGGTACACGTACTTGGCGTTCCGGCACGCTGAGCCGGTCTTTCGGGTCTTCGTGACCCTCAACTGCGTCGGGTGCCGGCTTTCTCATCCCCGTCATCCTGCCGCCGGTGGCGACTTGATTCGCATGAACCTCAACCAGTTCACCTGTGCCGCTACCCGCGCACCACTATCGTCCGCGCCATCGCCGGGGCAGCAGACGGTAGCCAACAGTCGGATTGGTTCCATGCATGTGAAGAGACTAGTGACATTTCGAGAATACTCAAACGACTGGGATCGGTGAAAATGAGCGGTTATTTTATTAGCGAGGGTTCTTCGCTCAAAATGGCCTCGGCGGGGAGATGCCTCCAACTTAGGTGGTAGGCATCGAAGTAACCACATACGCTTCGCAGATTGTTGAGTAGCTAGTGACTCTATTAGCCGGACCCGCTGCAACGCTCGAGTTAACTTACCTCCACCAACCTCCAAAGTGGAGCATGACGATGGGATGAAAAATGGCAAAGAAGCTTGTATCTCGGGCGGAGGGTCGCAGAAAGGGATCAATTCTGAGAACTCGGCGTTTGCGTCGGGGTCCTTTGGGCAGTTGTCCTTATAAAAGTGGATGCCTCTGCCCTCTGTAATGATGTTAGTTTCTGATAACGACGGAGTGCGAGCCACTCACCGAGAAGAAAAGCTCAAAGGCACGATGCCGAAGTCCGCGCCGGAACTGACGCTGCATCTCTCCTACTAGCCATCGCACCGCCGCACGGTCTTTGGCGAGGCCCTTGGGCTCTTCGTCACACCTCCCACGACTTGCTCTGAGGAACTCTCGCTGGGCATCGTTAACCGAATCTTCTGAATGGCCGTCATATATCGCCATGCAGCATGCCGCCAGAAATATAAGAGGGAGGAAACGGGAGGTGTTTCGACGAACGTTTTCTAATGCTAGATTGGTGCCAACATTCCGTCCAAAGGCAGTCAAAGCAAGTTGAAGAGATAGCTCTGTCGTGTGCGTTTTAGAGCAACTGTTGTTGTCCAGTCGGATTGTTGTCAAGTAGTCAACCGCGCGAAGGACGTCGTCTGTAGTAGACAAGCTAAGTGCCTCCCTCTTCTCGCGCCACTCGGTCTCTGTCTTGGGTAGGCCCGAAATGAATGATTTTGTTGCTTTCCTCCATTCGTTTACCGAGGGACGACCCGATGGCAAGGTCTGCTTGGGTGGGAGCCAGAACTCGATGCGAACACCCAGCTGCGGCCGGCTCCGGCGTACCTTTACCTCCTTCTCGAGCTGCCGAATGCACTCATGCAGTAGGAGCTCAATGGCGGTCATGTAGAGGTACCCGAGGTAGGCATGGTCGTCGCCGAAAAACTCGTCGATTCACGTGGCCGACATCGTGGGATGTCAGAGGAGGTTTCTCGAGAGATCCTCCAGAGACTCCGAATTCTTCTAAAAGGAGTCTTAATCCGTAGCGTTCGATCGAACGCTATTTAATTGGGCTTAGCGTCCTGTTTTGGGAGACGCGGCTGAGGCACGAGCGGGAATCCCAGCAATCTTTCTCGGCTGACCGGGATCATGGCTCGATTGTGCTCCCTGCATTCAGCTGTCTTCATCATGAAGTGAGTTGAGGTGATCTACATACAAGTACAGATCGATACACACCACCAGTACACCCTAGCCTGGTATACAGTACATTTTAGTAGGTCGGTGGGTAATTATGTACTCCTCATTCCTCAATAACAAGCTCCCCATAGTTCAGTCCATCGCTGCCTTGGCCATCGGAAAACTGACTGCCAATGTAAGCGAGCTCAACCTCTCTCTCCGTCGCCCCAGCACCAACACGCTCGTTTTGGCTTCGTTTGGCGCTCTTTTTTTTACAGGTCGACCCAACAGTCGCGGAAGCCAAGGGTGGGGCGATCGAATCAACGGCTTGGGGAACCACTGTTCTGATCGTAAGGTCAGCCCCTCACGCGATGCCGGCAGGGTGGTATGTAGATGCAGATCTTACAGTCTTGCAGTCGGAGCCAAGTTGTTCGCCGAGGTGTCTTTGGGATCCATTGTACTTGAGGTTCACCGTGCGGTTGACCGGAAACTGAACTTAGAGGCTGATATTAACCCAATGCATCAAAATAGAGGGCGACTTGGATTATGTTACGTTGAGGAGTACCGTAGGCTCGTTGAGATGTTGGAGAACACTGAAGAGGTCTGGCCAAACGAAAGGTTGGAATGAAATAAAACCAGAAGCAGAACAAAGGGGGACAGATCATATATACAATTATCGCGATAGTTACCCTTGTGGGTGCGCATAAGGTAGCTTGCAGTCCCGCCACCTGTTGTATCTTCTCCCGACTATGTGTCCGCATATCTCATGGGATCATGTCAACACCGCCCTTCGGCAGTCAATGGCAGGTAGCTAGCGGCTCCAGCCTCCGTGGTCTAACGAACAGTCTATAGCCAATGTTGGCTGAAGGTCTTTCCGGATGCTAACATACCTAAGTATTCACCGGACGAATGGGATAACTGGGTGTGTGATCCAGTCCAAAACAACCCTCGATAACTTCAGTTTTCCTTGTTCATCGTCACGCATTTCACAACCCTACACATAAGTCATGGTACTCAAACGGCTTATGCGAACACCTTGTCCAATGGGCTCGTCTCAGCCTTTGTTCCAGGGGCCCGTACCCAGATGTGGGCATAAAGTTAACGAGGTACCTACCTACCTAGGTAGGTAGGTACTGTGTAACCTCGATAATAGCCTTGGCGTCACTCGCCCACCAATTGGGCTTAGCGTACCCATAGGGGGACGCCTCACCCTCGATGCATCGACTACCTTTAAAAACTCATCTTTCTCTCCATGCGTGCCGGCAGCGACCCCCTTGTATCCGAACATTGGCGTCAAGCTGTTCCCTGTGGGATAATTAGATGATACTTTGTCTGCACGCGTGGAACAGCATCACATCTACCGCGAGTCACCTTGGTTGCCCGACATGGCGGAACCTTGGCAAGGTCCTCATGACGACTCACTTCAGGCCAGCTTGATGTCGCCGTACGCGCCAGGTGCGTCTGCCATGCCCACCGGCACAATTGCCCGTTAGCTCTTTGAGAGGGACCCGAGCTGATAAAACAGAGCACTCTAGATTGCCTGTATTCTGGAAACAACCGGACACCCGATGCCCGAGCTCAGTGGTACAATTCGTAGGTCTCTCAATCTCATCATTCGCTTTTCTCCTCCGTTGTTGAGTGTGCGCAGCGTGACAGGAGATTGCCCGCTTCTATCTGAACTAATCACCTAAGGTAGCTGACTCAAGTTTCAGATTGCATTCTTTGCCGTCTGACAACCCAACCTTCACACAGTTTGGTCAACTTTATACACCGGGATTGGAAGGATGGGGGTCGACTTCATCACTCCATAGCGCCGATACGTCGCGAATGACGCTTCAGCGTTATGGAACAACGCTCCAAAGTCTTTTTCAGATGCAGGAACAGAGATGCCGAGCCAATATTGCCGGGCTCTATGATTACCTTCCTCTCACCGCATTTTGGGACACTACACCGCCCACAGCCAAGGAAGCCAGCCTAGCCGACAGCACATATGAGTCAGCGTTCGACGTGACTTCGCCACGCCGCTCATCCATCGACACACCAGACTTGAACACCTTAACTACGCCCTGCTTACCCGAGGACACCCTGCGCAAATTTTGTGACACGCCATTCCCAAGAACTCAGTTGAAGCGTTACGAAGTTCCTATTTCCAGTGATGCGTGCCCTGTGGATGCTGAAGAGTGCGACAAAGAATCATTGGGCACTGACGACGAAGAGTGCGAAGAGGACACGCTGACCACTGACGAGGAAGAGTGCGACGAGGAAGAGTGCGACGAGGAATCGTTGGCAGCTGACGACGAAGACATGGATGCGGATGGGCATTCCATAGCACCGACTCCATGGCCAGAGAGCTGGTACGAAGGGGGGAGCGAACTCGGTCTTCAGCAGTTTGCTGCCAGAGTCATAGAGAATTGTTTAGGCCACCATGGGGACGCCGAAGCCATAAATGACGAGTTCAGTACGGTGCAGTGTCCCACCGACAACGACGCGGGGCGCAATGGACACGAACATACAGACGCCACAACCACCGGAGCAAGTTCAGCAACCGGCCAGACAACACACTCCGGGCGCCCATTTTCTGGCGGCCATCCGGCCAAAAGGCCAAGAAGCAGTGACGATGGAGACAGCGAGGAGGATCGGCCTCCGAAGAGACGAGACGCCAAGGGACCACCAGACAACGATGCCAATCCGAGGAAACTCTACGCCTGTCCATACCAGAAGCGCATGCCGCAGCAAAGCCCGTTCTGTGGTATGCCGCACGGGTCAAAACGTGATTTTGGCTGGGACAGCGTGTCTCGAGTCAAGTATGTCTCCCGTCAGAACATCGCCCACCTCTTAGGCTGATCAGGAGATTCACTTGCTGACAGTAGTGATTGATAGGCAGCATCTTTTCGAAAGCCACGGGTTGGACCATCACTGCCGGAACTGTTGGAGGGCGTACAAGACGACTCAAACCGCCCGGCGCTGCCACGAAATGAAGAAATGCTCGCAGCGAACCAGTCCACCGAAGCATTGGTTGTCTGAAAGCCAGATCGCGCAGCTCAAGGCCGAAAGAGTCGACAGCCAGAGCGACGAGGCCTGGTATCGAATTGCCGATCTGCTGTTCGGCAGTGACCAAGACTATAGCCCGGTGAATTTCCGCGCCGAACACACCCCATGTAAGTCGACATCGCGAGCGGGACACTGCCGGGTCACTCACCATAATAACCCACCAGACTATGATACGGCAAACTATCGCAAGCCGGTATCAGATGAGCCAAGTCCGTACAGGAGCCCTGGCAGTATGTGGACTCCGGCGAGCGACTCGACAAACCTTCCCGGATCGACCGCCATGCCAGGGAATCAAAACGTGGCGCTGCCTGTAGAGCCGGTCGAAGGAGGACAATCTGCGCCAGCCCTAGCCTCCCCGCCTCATCAACAAGGGCGAGAATTCTACGTTCAGGCGGGGCCTGAAGCTGCCACTATAGCAGATCAAGAGGCTCGACAGCCTGCGATGGAACTAGAGCCCTCCGAATGCGACAACCCAGACGTTGCGATTTATTCCCATATTATGGTCTCGGCTCAGGGCTGCCCAGCGCCAGAGACAACAGGTCACTTCCCGTCAGAGCAGCAGCTCCACTCGCAGACGGTCCAGGACTTGTATCATCTTCTTGATGAGGACGAGATGGCGCAATTCTTCGATTTCGGGCCCACCGCCACAGATCCGAGCCAACCACACTTGGCTGACTTGCACCGGGCTACCCCTGCCTCAACTACCTGCGAGCCCTTGCTCCAATTCACTAACACTGCCGCGGTTGAGCAATTGTCGCTAGCCTGCTCATGTGGGCACGCACAGAAGTGCATCTGTCGGCTTAAGAAGCGTGTCGCAGACCTGCGCAGTGAGAACAAGTCTCTTTTGGCTGAGAAGGAGACGATGCGGAACGCACTGGTTGGACTGCGGCAGACGCTGGATCGCCAAGACGAGCTACTACAATTCATGGAGGAGAAGGGCCTGCTTCCCGGCGAGACGATGGGGAAGCTGTGGGAGTATCAGGACATGATGAAGGCGGTGGTTTTGGAACATCGTTGATGCCGAATCTTGACGTTTTTGATACCCTCTGGTTAGTGAAGGGTGCGCGAGAAGGGGTGATGATGGGGAACACGTTGGTTACTACATCGAAAGTAAGGGAGCACATCCAGAGTCAAAGCTTAAGGACCGGGTCTATGCCTCCAGCAAATAGTGTAGATATCGTTGATCGCGAGAAGTAAAACGATGTGACATCCCACGGTCTCGCAGCCTCTCCTCATCACATAATTAATTCAGACTGAAAAGGTGATATCAGGGATATTCGCATTTCATTCCCCGAAACACACGCTTATCGACAACCTCCCATCTATGGCCCACCATGCACTCTTCTCCATCCTTCAACCTTCAATGTTCTTCTTGGCGGTAACCCACCACAGCGCATTCCATCAGATCCTTAGAAATATTCAAACCCACGAGTGTTAGCAGCCCGGGACATGGCAGTTGGCACAGTGCGACGAATCATGGTTGTCCCGGGGACCGGTCGGAAGTGCCGCAGCGGATTGGCGGGTTTCGTCCAGTTGGGGTGGCAAAAGTCATTGCAAGTGTGCTGGCTGAAGAAGGAACTGATGCCCCTGGAGCCGAGATCGGTGACCCCATAGTCGCCCGCCCGTGAAAGGATCACCGGATCCGATAAGATGAGTTCATGCCGGTAGATGCCGCCTTGCAGGTCGCAAAGGACTTCACTTCCGCCTGAGGCGTGGTAGCTGAAGTCTAATTACGGTCAGTTAGGTCTTGTCGTCTACCTAGGTTTGAACGAAAATGGAGTTGGCTGCACCTACGGCTGAGAGCCTGCATGACTTGTGGCCACGCTCCAGAATCGTCGTTCCAGCCGGTGTTGCTGTTGAACTTTTGGTAGTTCTGGATGAAGGGCTCGACCAAAATTTTCTGGCCGGCCCAGGAACTCCCCTCTTCAAACGTCCACACGGTGGGCACGTTAATCTTGATAGTCTTGTTGACAATGTTCAGCTCATTAAAGCGGTTCACAAGCTCCAGCGCTCTGTCAACTGCCTTGATGTCCAGAGTGAAATATTCCTTTTCGAAGACAGCCCCCGTCTTAAACCATTTCATAACACAGGCCTGACCGGATCGTGGGCCAGTGGTGTAAACCCCCTGGCCAACCCAACGAAAAGCACCCGACGCGAAAGGGTCGCCGAGCTCTGAGTCGGAAATCGTAGCTCTGGTAGCGTTGTTGTACCGACCACCATTGGACTGTTGGGCAAACGGAGCGTCAGAGCGATGGCCATGAACGCAACCGACACATCGCGACTCCCCCGGTCCTTTGGACCGCTGGTTGGCAGTGTAGGAGGTCAGTGGAAGGTCGCGCTGGCAAGCGGCGCAAACGCGACCCATGATAGAGCTCGGAGGTATGATAAAGAATGGCTGCCGAATATCGATGGTGATGCAAGCTGGGGAGACAGAGAAAAAGATGTCAAGCCAGAATGGATGCACCTGGGCACCGTATGGAATGGTGCACATATCTCAACAGGTAGTGCACGGGCCCCGACGCGGGGCAGAGCAGACTGATGTTTAACCTGAGAAGGGGGACACGCACACGTGGCATCACCCCAGGCCGCCGACAAACATGACGGTGAAACGTCCCCAACAATTGGTTGTTAGATTCCCCAGCTACCTAGGTAATCAGCCATCCAGCTCCTCACAAACAGAAACCGGATACCTAGTCACAGCCCAGTCACACCCAATAGCTCGAGAAACAACCCATGTTCCCACCCGTTGTTCGTTATCGCCGGCCCCCAATCCAACCCCCCAACCGACGACATGCGCTCCGCAGTCTCCCCCAACTCCCCAAGTGATTCCCGCAATTAACGGCTGGTTGCTGCGACTGGAGAAGGGTTGACATGGGTTTGGGCCGTCGAGGACGGAGCGTGGATGAGGCAGAGATACGCAATGGTGCTAATATGGGTGGTAAGACATATGAACGGCGAAACAGTCAAAGCGAGGGGGCACTTGCTCTCGCACACAAACTCTCCATTTCCGGTAGGTCTGACGGTTAACGAGCGGGTGGACGCCGAGTCATAACTCCCGGTTGTAATCATCAGACTTTTTCCAAGTTCAAACAGTATTTGACTTTATTCCCTGGGCCAAAGTACCAACAAAACCATTGAATTTTTGAATGGGGAAACGTGGTAGAGAGGTGGCTCGGAAAGTCTTTCTGTGCAGCCGCTGGGGATTTAGCTAGAGCCTCCGTCAAATGCTGCTGATGCGTAATTAGTTCGGTCCGCTCGGGCACATTGTGGTCCCGGAGCGCGCGTCTCTGTGTGAAATCTATCACCATGCAGCAACTTTATTAACACCAGACTGGGTCCCAACCCCTTTATCACTTTCCGCATCGGATTGCGCGTTGCGTCACTCGCATGACATTAATGCCTGAACACGCGGTGATAAGCACCCCTCATGACGACTATAATTGACCAAACCCCTTTCATCCCGCCCAATCTTTGCCGTTATTTTTAACCATCTCTCCCCTCTTAGCGGGCGCTTTCTTTTCGTTCACCATAGGGAGCGGTAGCTAGCTGAAACTTTGTCACTCGGCGACAGCCTAAAAATGCTACGCCAACACTCAACGAGGTCTTCGACACCGGCCTCAACAGGGAAACCTGGCCATCCCTGGCCATCCCTCCCCACGGAAATTCGCATCATGATTCTGGAAGCGATTGCACAACAAAAGCATCCGGGTTGGGCTTCGTTTGCATCGGTCTGCAAGGAATGGCAAATCGTCCTTGCTCGCCGAAATTTCCACCGGCTGACGTTACGGGTGCCCTGTCTGGATGGCCTTGAGCATCTAATCGTTCAGCAACAACACCTCGTTCAGCATATCCGTTTCGAAATTGAACTTCCGCCCTACTCATGCTACCGTTGCTCCATGCATGATGGGCCAACTATGGTAAACTACAACAACGCCATTGTCAGCAAGGGCATCCTAAACCTATTCCGCATCCTTAGCTCCTGGGACTCGAGAGGGCAACCACGTCCAGAATGCGGCCTCTCACTAGAGCTCAACGTACATTGTCCCAGCGACTCAAAATACTGGTTCAAAAACTGTCAATTTGCCCTTGATGATGGTGAAGGCGACGGAAAAAAAGACGACGCCATCTGGCATGATCCACCACACGGCTGGGTCAAGGGTCAGCAAGTCGCCGCGCCCCCCGCATTGGCCGTCCTACGGCTCTTCGAAGACATCCGTCTCCAGTGCGTCGAGGGCCTTCCTGAAGTCAAAAGCGTCACTTCTCTCAAGATTGGTCGGCAGCTACGGCGCCGGTTTTATCTCAGTGACCTCGAAGCCCTGTTGGGCAAGCTGAGTGCGTTGGAACATCTACTCCTAGAGCCATGGCGGGAATGGGAAAATGGTGAGAGTACGATGCAAGATACCGGTACGTGCTTTCCATGCATATTCTACCTCTTCCTTCTACATACACCCCATCACTAATCGGCCACCACAGCATATCAACACCTTGTCAAAGACTACCTTCCTCAAACGCTGAGGAGAATTTCCGTGTTTGAAGACTCCGACCACAGTCTCGCTGTATTACTAGCCAATTCCTACAATGCCCCAACTTGGCGGAGGCAAATATCGGCCGCCCGGAACGCGGATCCCGGAGTCGGCGCGGCCTTTGCGTTGAGAAGCCTGAGCCTTGAATATCTCTCTGTTTCTTACATGGTAAACGCTGAGGACTTCCTACGTGCTTGCCAGACTACTTGGATATGGCACCGCCTAGAGTTCCTAGCGCTCACATCACACCTCCTCCGAAAGGATGTAATGGTGTGGGATCACCATGACAAGATAAATGATTTCCTCTACGAAGCAGCAAAAGTAGCACTACGAATGCCAAACTTAAAGGCATTGGCGCTATGGAACGGTGGGAGGGGCGTGGCCACTGCGTTCATATATCACACCGACCGGAACTATGCATACATTACCTGGCGGGGCACATGGGATGTAACTCTTAGCCCTCGGGTGGTCGACTTGTGGGAGCAGGTGGCTGTTCAGCGGAATCAGTCCCTTCCACTGCTCGTCCGAAGGGAGCAAATCTCGGAGACCATTGCATCCCATGGAGATGCCATACATCATCTGCACTTGCCGTGCCCAGTAGTTTCGCCGTCATCCCTCCGGCAAATACGGGTCGAAGGAAGACATCGACTCACAAAAAAGAAAACAACCTAATTGACAGATACTAGCCTATAAAGGATTATGAATCCTGTTCATGGACACGGGCGCAGTCCAAGAAGTAGTAATCCCGTGGGCTAATTAGGCCTGGAGGTTTTGGGAGAATCAGATAACGTACTTTATCAGCCAGCGGGACATATCACCGAACGGGACACTCCCCACTACTCTATAACAACCATCCCT